CTTGTTGCAGAATGTGGAGTGGGTGGGAGTCAGTGACTGGAAGTAATTTGATACAGAGAAAGGGCAGGCTTTGGGGGCAGTTTTCTGCTTGCTCCAGAATAGGTACAAAGTACTTCTGTTCAACAGTGGAGAATAAAAAAGAAACTTTTGAAGCAATGAGATCAATTATATAATCAAATAGAGTAAGAGTATGTTATCTTTCTCTTTTTCATAACTTTCATTTCATTTTTTAAAAAATCAATACATTCAGAGATGCCTCTGTCTTGAAAATAACCCACGTTGAACTGTATTGAACAGTCAAACATGAGCCCAGGAAAAGTTTTCGGGAATAAACTACTTTATGATAATGTCATAAAACATTTTATAAAATTTGCCAAATTTCAATTCTACAGGAGTCATGGAGCATAGATTAAGGACTCCACTTATTCATTCAACAAACCATGGATTCTTTTTCCGGTTAGTGTAAAAGCATACTAGTTCATACAATGAGATAGTGGGAATGTTAGTGTAAAAGCATACTAGTTCATACAATGAGATAGTGGGAATGATCATCCTCATTCTTGACTAAACCATATCACTTATTAGTATAATGCACAAATGATCCTGCTGTAGTATAGAAGTAGAGCCTGCAAATTGTTTTATATGCCATTTAAAGTGAAATATATAAAGAGAAATGATATAGTTATCAGACAGGTTTTCAATGGATAAGACTTCTGAATATATTTCTGGTGTTTACATCAGTCTAAAAGCTTTCATGTCCTATTTACAAGGCTTATTTTTAAAAATCCAGTTTTTAAAGTGAAACACTCTCTTTTAGTCCTTAATCAGATCTGTATGTGGGTTTTGGCACTGCTTTAAAAAGAACAGCTGCTGATTAAAAACCTCTGAAAGAATTTGTCTTATAAAACTTGTAAGAGTTGGCAAAAACATAAGGCATATATGCAGTTAATCATTTTTTCATCTTTTGTTACACATACATTTGTCAGTTTCCTCTGATATGAATTTGCATAAGAAATACACTTGTGGAATATTTCTAGCAAGCAAAAAAATATAGAAATGCAATAAGTGAGTTACACGAAAAACTTCATAGATTAGATGAAATACAGTAAGTATCCAGACTTCGTATATAATCATATTATGAATTTAGGAAGGTCCACTTATCTTGTACCTTATTATTGTCTTCTTTAAAACAAAGACTGCCTCAAGTTGGGCTCAACTCTTATTGATAGGCCCCAGTATGTACAAGCTGGGACTAATATTTCTAACACCATTTTCTTGAGCACAGGTTCTCCTCATGGCCATGTCCTAAGTCCGCTGTTGTTCACCCTGTTGACCCATGACTGTCGTGCCAGGTTTGCCACCAACCATATTGTGAAGTATCTATATGGGTTGTGTCTGTGTGTATGTATGTGTGTGTGTGTATGTGTATATATGTATATGTATATATGTATATAGCATATGTATATGTGTGTTATGTGTGTATATGGGTAGATATATACTTTCTTTTGAGAGCAGGCAATAGAATTTCATTTTTAATTGGGGCAAGTGTGCTCATAGTAAAAAATAAAGGTTCTCATATCTAACTCCTGATTTTCTTGGTAACAATATAGAAATGCTGTTGCCAAGAACAATATAGAAAGATTTACTTTTTGTTTTGTTCCAACATCCTAAGCATTTCTAATGAAACTTCATCTCCCAGAGCTACTCAGTAAAGCAAGGGGACAACTGGAGTTGATGAACAAAGAGAGGCTGCTTGGGAACAATCTTGTTGAGGGGTCAAGTTGCCTTCTGTTGCCAGTGGCTACCCAGACAATCAATAGAGCTACCTATCAGGTTGCCTGGTAAATCACCAGCTGCCTGCTGAAGTCCATCTGGATTCATATGGTGCCCGGGACATGCCATTTTAATCAGTCTACTCTCCCTGCAGGGATTCCATGAATCGGACAGTCTCATCTGGACCATAAAATGATCTGACCATAGTAAATGTTAGATGACACAGCCTCTGAATCTAGATTATCTAGCAACCGCTCTGAGGCAAACACAAAATCAAGAGTGTGACTGCTGGTGTGAGTCAAGCCAAGATCATTTTGTATAAGCCCATGGTCATCATTGAGACCATGGAATCTTAAGTCTTCTCAGTTTTTGCCACAGGTCATGATTGAAATCACTCAGTGCCAAAAGATGTTGTGACTTCAGCCTTGAGAGTAATGCAGAAGCTTTTCAAAGATTGTAACAGGCAGCACAACAGCCAATGCACAGGAAAAATCTTTAACTTGTTCCTCTAGCTGAGTGTAACACACAGGCACTCAGTAGCCCTGTCACAAGTAAGCTGCCTCTAGATCATTGCTACTCCTATCTAGGGATGGAGTCAAAGCTACTGTTCCAGAAGATAAAACTGAGACAGATTTCCCCATCAGGCTTTGGCAATAATCATAAATCCAGTGTCTCATAATGCTGGACTATTATTGTATTATTTATCCCTTAATTACAAATGAGATGGTTGATACATGGGATGATTAGAAAGTATTGTCTACAGACAATACTGTAGATATGTTACAATGTGAAACTTTCTGATTATCTATAATAGGGGTGTCAAACTGCCGGCCCGCGAGCCGGATGTGTCACGAGGAAACCGTACCCACCCTATTGCTGGCAATGGGGAAAACGTTCCGATACGTTGCGTAACATCACGTGATGTCGCGAGTTTGACATATCTGATCTATAAGGCTGGGAAGGATATAAATAAATTGAGCAAGGATGGACAGAATAAGTGCTTTTTCACTGACTTCCTTTATTTCTGCTTTTCTTCTTCTGAATTGCTTTCAAGGGTGGGAAATTATAATCACTGGGAGAATAAGTTCCTGGAAATACTATTTTATAGTGGAAACTCCTGGCAAAGAGATACACACTTACGCTGCATTAAATGAACATCATTCTCGTTATAAAACTGGGCTGCGCTTCCATTCTGTCTTAAGGCTCTCCAGTAGTCAATTGTCTTATTGATATTTAATCTGGGGAGATCAGGCTTCTGCTCTGAGTCTCAATACCTCTACTATAGACTGCACAATTCTGGTGGCTAGAAGTATATGCACCCCTAACCTTTTCTGAGAATTTTACCCTTCATTAAAAAAAAAAATAGAAGACAACAAAATTGGAACTCTATAAATAAGCAAAAAAGAAAAACTGCATTGTTTGTTAGGTATTCTGAAAGCTTGTACTGATGCCAGCTTTGATGGTGTCTAGTCACCATGTCTTTTGTGGCTTCTCATGATACCACTTTTTCTTTTCACTGTCCACTTTCCTCTGTCACACAATACAACGTGCTTATCTTTACTGCTCTATATTATTTACTTCATTTTCCACTTTAGCAAATAAAACTATGCAGAGCATTTGTATGTTTTTCAATCGGGTGAACAAGGCACTGTCACTATACAGATTGAGATCTTGAGTGAGAGTGGCTTAAATATTTTAATGCCGTGTGGTCTCACTTTTCTGAAATTAATTGATGAGGTTTACATGTGCTGTACCATGAAAAAAGAGAAGTAGTTCATAGTGATGTGCTTTTATTATCAATTCTGCAGATTAGTGATGTTTGGAGGTAATTTGCTGGAATTAATACAGCAAAGGAACCCTCTTTCTGGTGGTCCTGTCCATCCTAGACGTATTCTGTGGCTGGTTTTTTAGCATCTGTGACTCATGAGATTAATAAATGATGTGTGTGGCAATTTTGTGATGGAAATGGTTCTAATTTTGTCAACATTTTTAATGTCCATCCATCCATCCATCCATCCATGAAATATGGCATATCTAAGGATACTTTGTTCAAAGTTAATGTACATTTTGATAATCATGTTGTACCTTGCGTAAGTATCTGACATTCAGATAAGTTTGAAAGGCTTGCATTTTCTAAAATACGTTAAATCATATTTTCTGGAGGTGACAGTTAACATAAGTAACATGGTGCTAAATTTCGTCAGCCATCAGATGGAGAAGTTAAGTAATGGTCGTAGTAATTGTTGGTAGTAAAACGAAGCAATGATTACAGTGGCCACATTGCTGCTAGCTACCTTTATTCTTTAGCTATTTACTGGAATCATCATAAATATTTTTTTCTTGTGACAGCCTAGTAAGCCTGTGGGAATATTAGCCAGCTTAAGACTTGGCTGCACTTCTATAGAGGTAGTCCTCAACTTACAACAGTTCATTTAGTGACCATTCAAAGTTACAATGGCACCCACTGAAAAAAATGACTTACGACCATTTTTCACACTTACAACCTTTGCAGCATCCTCATGATCATGTGATCACAATTCACATGCTTGGCAACTGACTCATACTTATGACCGTTGCTGTGTCCCAAGGTCATGTGATCACTTTTTGTGATCTTTTGACAAGCAAAATCAACAGGAAGTCAGATTCACTTAACAACTGTGTTACTAACTTAACTGCAGTGATTCACTTAACGACTATGGCAAGAAAGGTCATAAAATGGGGCAAAACTCACTTAATCAATGTCTTATTTAACAACAGAAATTTGGGCTACCTGTACAGAATTCTATGGCACTAGCCCTCTGAAGTCAATGTATCTTACCTCTAATAAGATGCCAATAGGATTGCATTCCGAATCAAGTTAAGTTGGAATGGGCAACGGGAGCTTATGTGTTTCAGAAAGAAACTGAATATTGTGTACATTCTTGCATTTTATAATTATTGTTAACTGGCCCAAATCCAGAACATTGGCTGCTCAGCTGGAAGGATCTTCCATCAATATATATATTTTATCATGTTCAATATATATATATATGTTGTTATTTTGAGAGAGAAGAGTATTACCTGTGCTGTGGTTGGGCATATAGGGAATTATGTGCCAATGCATCTGAAAGATACCAGTTTGGGGAGGGCTAATGAACACATCTTGTGAACATGGATATAACTAGGTAGTGGTGTGTTATAATAAAGATCCTTTCCCTAGTAATCTATTTCTTTTTTTTTCCTTTCAGGATTCCACCTGAGTGGCACTGTGACAGAAGCAGCAACTGCAGCAGAACCAGAAATGACCTACAAAGTGGCCATCAGCTTTGACCGGTGCAAGATAACCTCCGTGACATGTGATTGTGGGAACAAGGACATTTTCTATTGCGCTCATGTTGTGGCACTCTCCCTCTACAGGATTCGCAAGCCTGATCAGGTCAAACTCCGTCTTCCCATATCAGAGACTCTTTTCCAAATGAACAGGGACCAGCTCCAAAAATTTGTTCAGTATTTGATTACAGCCCACCACACTGAAGTGCTCCCAACAGCCCAGAAATTGGCTGATGAAATCTTGTCCTCCAACTCTGAAATCAATCAACTGCACGGTAAGTCAACGAGGCAGAAATAACTTCTGATAAATCTCCCAAAACATAATAACATGCTCGATTCCTGATGAACCTGAAGATGAGAAGAATCTCTCACCATGTTTATAATGTCTGAAGCACTTAATTCTTTAAAATATAGAATCTTTAAAGCTCCCTGACAAATTGTATGCAGGCTCATATATTTTCACCAAAAGATTTTGGCTGTCACAGCTGTTTGTATCTCTTTTGGAAAAGAGGTTTATAACCACAAACAATGCTGGAAGTGGGTTGAGTACCTAATACTCTGGACTCTAAATATATTGTGATACTGTCAGGTCATATGTAATGCTTGTACTTTCTGCTTAGGAGCATAAACAAGGAGAGAGGCTAGTCACTTTTTGTAAAGTAGCATTATATTTCTGTTCTGAAGGTTCCTTCCTTAGCATTGATAGAACTGCTACCTTTCTCCAATCTGTTCACGTGGGTAGGTATGATGAGAATGGTTCTCTAACACATATGGAGCTTGCCTCGTTGAAAAAGCCAAGTACAAGTGAAATTTGATTCTTAGTGACTATATTTAAAAAGGCCCACATTTCAAGGAAAGTTGAGCGTGGTGTTCATTTTTTCTGTTTTATAACCACCGAGTTTTAAAAGTTGAATGCCCTGTATATGTTACTGTGTGGAGATTTATCAGCTGCCATGCTGCTAGCAGAAGGTACTCAGAAGCTTGTTACCGTGATGTCAGAAAAGACGTGGTTGCTATTTCTAGGTATATTGAAGTGAGAATGAGTGATATTTTTTTTTTTACATTCTCAATTTAGACGCCAGCTAATTATTTTGAGTTGACAGATCAGCTGATGGTATTCTTTGTGCTCTCTGAGCTTGGATGTTTGCTTGCAGAAACATCAGCAAGCAAATAACCAAACTCAGAGAGCACCAAGGACTTCACAGTTTGACCCTGTGTAGATCAGCTTATATCATCACTTTTTAAAATTCCGCCTTTATTATTTTTATACATAACTCAAAGACGCGAATGTAATACTCCTTCCTTCTCTTATTTTCCTGAAAACAATAACCTTGTGAGGTGAGTTAAGCTGAGAGAGATTGATTGGCTCAAAGTCACCCATGCCTAAGGTGGGATTAGAACTCAGGCTCCTGGTTTTTAGCCAGGTACATTAACCACTAGACCAAACTGGCTCTTACAGCATATTGCTTTTTTTTTTTTTAGCTGCTAAATACAAAGCTTATACAAGTTCTCATCCTTTAGAGACTGCTTTGTTTGAAGTTCTTTTCACAGTTACAACAATAATGAAAAAGTAAACTTGTAATCAGTCCTTGCATTTACGACTTCCACAAGTCTGTTAAGCAAATGAAAGCTGAAATAAGGGCATAACTTACAGTCTCCTGGTTTCTAGCCTGGTACCTTAATCACTAGGCCAAACTGGCTTTCTAATTAATAATTTAGAAAAAGAGAATAATTAAGGCTTAATAATTAAAAGAAAGGAAAACAATAAAAAACCAGAAAAGCAGGTGAACCCAGAAAAAAAACAATATTACATGACACAGAGAAATCCACCGGGTACTCAACCTAACCCAGGCTCAGAAGCACAACTATGTTTTATAAACTCGTGGAACTCCTAGGGGGTGGAAGCTGCACAAATCTCAGGGGGTGGGGGAGAATGATATACTAGGGAGACAGGCACCATAATAGAGAATGTACACTTCTAGAGTACCACTAGCTGATATTATTTGATAGAAGGGACCTGAAATACCCCCATTCAACCTGATTGTACTGGATGGGTACAAACCGAGGTAGTTTTTAAAATAACTAGGGTTTTATAGCTGACAACCAGCAAATTGAATTGCACCACAACTAAACTGGACATTAGTGCAACTCATAGACCATTGATGATACATTGGCATATCAATGTGTGCCCATCGTTGGTCATGTTGCTATATTCTGGACTAGTTGAAGCTTCACGAATGAATTTCAATTGTGAGGTAATTAAAATGTACTTGATTACCTGTCTCACATTATGGAATGTTTGTAGGTACAGAAGTCTCAGAATCTGCAAGTTTATCAACTTTAGTTGAGGATGGATTTGCACTGTACCAGATAGATCCAGTGCGCAGGACTTGGTGGTCTTCCTGGATTGATGACTCCTGTTAGGAGGGTTCTTGCACAACTTTATGTTGTGTACCAGTTGTGGCCTTCCTTGGATTATGAGACCCGGCACTCAGTCAGTCATGTTCTGGTCATCTCCCATTTGGATTACTGAAATGCACTCTATGTGGGGCTATGCTTGAAGAGTATTTGGAAGCTATAGCGAGTACAGAATCAGTAGCGCAGACAGCCTTAGCCTCCCCTTGTATGGTGTATATAACACTGCTGTTATGCAAGATGCATTGGTTGCCAGTTTGCTTCCAGATCCAATTCAAGATGTTGGTTATCACTTCTAAAGCCCTTCATGGTTCTCTGAGGAACCATCTCACCCCAAAGGCATCAGCCCACCCCACTTGGTCCAGCAGAAGGGCCATGCAGCAAACCCTGTTGCTCAAAGAGCTTCAGGTGGCAGAATCTAGAAGACGAGCCTTTTCTGCTGTGGCCCCCACTCTTCTGGAATATCTTGCCATCTCAGGTGAGATCTGCCTCTACCCTTTTGCCCTTCTGGAAGGATGTTAAAATGTTTGTTTGTTTATATCCCACCTTTATTGTTTTTACAAATAACTCAACGCAACTCTGCCAGGTAGCTTATTGTCCTCACGGGGGTGCTCAATGTTGAAGGTGGTTGGTGCATTAACTGAGAAGATGCCACCTCTTTACTGATATTATCTTTTTGCTTCTTGTTTCTTTAATTATGTTTTAAGAGTTTTATATTTATGATTTTAATTGTAAGACACCCAGATTAATTTTTCAGAGTGAGATGATTAGCATATACATTTAATTAATTGATTGATCATAGCAATGTGTGCAAGTAGCACACAACATAAACCTGTGCAGAAGCCATCCCTCATCACAATTGCTGCCTGCTCTTTGTGCAGTAGTTATAACACAGAGTTGTGCAGTAGTTTCAAAGAGGGAATACAACACCATCCAAAACCAAATGTGAAAAATTTCCAGATCTATGGATCAGACAGCCACAACCATCACAATATGATGGCTCCCACTCCCAATCCTTGCAGTCACTCGAGAAATATACTGTAGTCAATGATATGAAAAGCCACTGAGAAATCAAGGAGCACAAGGATGGGTGCACCCAACCCTTCCCTGCCTCTGTCAAAGGTAATTGACAAAGTCCATTAATGCTGTCTCCATACTGTATCCTGGTTTGAAAGCCAATTGAAATAGGTCCAGATAATCTGTTTCCTCCAAGAGTTTCTGCAACTATTGTCTAACCATCATCTCAACAACCTTCCCAAGAGACGGAAAGTTGGCGACTGGATGATAACTATTCAAATGAGTTGGGTCCAGTGACAGCTTCTTGAGGAGAGGAGCCATTACCTCCTCCTTCAAGGCTAGAGGGACAATCCCATTCCTCAAAGAGGCTGACACCATTAAATGGACCTCACTACAGGTCATTTCCTGATCTACCTTCACAATCTAAAAGGACCTGAATCTAATGAACAGGTGGATAAATTCATAATTTGAAGGACCTTATTTAGTCCAGATCAGACTTAGTCCAGAAAACAACACAGGCAAATCCTGGTCTTCTCACTTGGCTCTGCCAATCATAGTCTAACTCCAAGTGGAAAGTCCAAATATTTTAACTGTAGATAGCTTTTTTCTATTATTGTTATGATCAGTTATGCTGGACATGGCAAGACATGTCCCATAATATTTGAGCTATTTATCATACATTGCTTTTCCAAGGGCCCTGAAGACATGGGTTTTTTCAGTGAGCCTGGGGACCCCAATTGGAACTGGAGCTGATCAAGTGGCTTGTATTGCTGCTGCCATGGGGCTTGGGGGGGGGGGAGATATCATTTTTGTTATGGATTTTAATGTTGTCAGCCTCCTGGAGTCACATATATGTGAGTTGGACAACTGTATACATTTGTTCAATAAATCAATAAATATAAGTCACTATGAGGAACAAAGATCCCTCTTTCTTTCTCCAGGTATGACTAAACCATAAAATCCATTGATGAAGGACCTTTTTCCAATCACTACCAAAACATAAGGGATATTTACTTCCATGCTAGAAAATATGGCTGCTATATCATTTATAAGGATACAGGTGGTCCTCATCTAGCAACCACAACTGGGACCAGGAATTAACCAAAGCAATCACTAAGTGAAACTGCTACTGTGCTTATATCTTATTTCATCTTTCGTTTGCTTAAGAGACCTGTGAAGTCACAACATTATTTTTTCATCACTATCATAATTACAAATGACTGCTAAACAAAGCAGCCACTATACAAGGACTGTCTGTAACTGATCTATATGGTATTACACAAAGTCGTTTGTTTCTGCGATATATTGTTCCTATTCTTAGCAGTGTTTCTCCATTGCCTAGGCATCAACTGTTGCAAAATTCTGTCTGAAAGTTGCTGTTCATTCTAATCTCCCTTTGTGTTAAATAATTTTGGAAAGCACTTCCCTCTTTTGCTTGAAGTGGGATGGTATCAGTAATAATCGACTTTTTGGGATTTCCATCCATGAAGTTCTATTGAAAAACGTCTCTGCAATATGAAAAACCAAATGATGTTGAGCTGTGAACTACTAAATGCCTGTAGCTATCTCCCTTCTTTCCTCATGCACACACTCTATTCTTTCTATTTGGCTTTGATTCTGATTACCTATCACTGTGTGAATTCATCGGAAGGCTGCTGTTAAGAAGAAGGTGTTTCTATTAAAGGGACACAGAGTTCACCCACCCTCAGGGAAATGCTTGAATCAAGAATTAATTCCTTTGGAAACAGTTGATTCCAGGGATGTCAATCTAGTTAAGTCACTATTTAAATTTCATCCCAAAGAACTGTAGTAAAAGGTCTGTAAAATTTTAATACAGACCAAAATTAAATGTACTGATTATTAAGCTTTCCCCTCATAATTGCAGGAATCATTGCAGGTTAATTAATATAGCAGACTTAAAATATAAAACTGGGAATAATTGACAATGAGTACCAAAAATGAATATTAAACAATTTTTTCCCATAAGAAATAATGTAATGAGTCGTAAGGCAACCAACACCAACAAGTTCTAGCTTGTGCATTGAGTACCAAACAAAGGATGAATACTGGGATAAAATTTTCACATCAAAATGCGTTGAGTACCAAATTCAATGATTTTCAAAGCCATTGAGTGCCAAGGTACCATTGTATTGTTTCTTTTCCTTTTTTCTTACTCTTGCTTTGTTTAGAAAAGTAATTCAGTTGTGCTCATCCTAGAAATAAATATTAGTCTTTTTTATAAATAAAATAAAATCAAAGCTGACAGATATGTGGACCTCCCATTGTCTGACAGTTGTAAACCAAATAATTGTTACTAATATGTGTAAAAATAAAATCGGTAACGAAGAAAGCTGGGAAAATATTTCATTTGCTGCTGATGAACCTGGCCCATGATTTATGGTGACCAGAAATATTTTAATGACTTGAACATTGAGTGAAAGTCTTCCTGTTTACGCAAAGTCTAATGAATGCTCTGAAAGTTGGGGTAATTATAAACTGGTACTTTTTCTGTAAGGTACAAATCAAACCCTGAGGCTTGGCAGGCAAGCCTCTTCACTGATTGTTGAAAACTCTGGCAAATAACCCAGTGAAATCAAAAGGTTTTGAGCAACAAGTCCTAAAATCCTTTGCCAGTGGCTGGGTTTATTGAGGCTGATATAAATTTAAATTCAAACTTATCTACAGAATAATGGATTACCTGCTCCTAGTTTAAATGATAACTAAAGTATACATAGAGGGCGTCAATCTGTTCTCCAAAGCACCTGAAGGCAGGACAAGATGCAATGGATGGAAACTAATCGAGGAAAGAACCAACTTAGAACTAAGGAGAAATTTCCTGACAGTTAGAATAATTAATCAGTGGAACGAGTTGCCTCCAGAAGTTATGGGTAGTCCAACACTGGAGGTTTTTAAGAAGAGATTGGATAATATTTATCTGAAATTATTTAGAGTTTCCTGCTTGAGCAGGGATTGGACTAGAAGACCTCCAAGGTCCCTTCCAACTTTGTTATTCTGTTACTTTCAGTTGAAGATGCCTAGGGATTGCAAAAACTTCTTTGCCCTATTGCTCTGCCCTGTAGTTCTTATGAGTCATCTGGCTTCTATCTGATGGGACAGTTACAATATGATTTTTCTAATTTCATTGTTATAATATATTGGTTTTGCTCCACAATGCTGCTTATTTTGAGAGTGCTAATTGCCTCTGAGTAGGATTAAAGCAGGCATTTACTTGGCCTGCTTTCTCTTAATGGTTGTAGAGATGGAGCTTTATTGACAAGGATAAATCCAGTTGACTAGGTTCAGTTGGAAAGGGCTGCATCTATCTTTTGCCATGTCTCCTCACTCCAGTTATGAGCTTTTAACTCACTGAAGGGTAGGTAGTAATAAACATTAGAGAAATGGGATAAAGGTCAGTGTTGCATGTTCCTGGCACCATGATTTATCCCTAACTGAAATTTCCATCCAGGATTTTTCTTTCTCTTCTTTTGCATAAGCCAGTATAGATTAGCATTTTTATTTTGTTTTTTGTTATCTAATGTCAGACATCCAGATCGATAATGTTGATAATTTCTATATAGAAGCAATTGTCTTTACAAAGTTGCCATGGAAGCATTTCAGTGATAAGAAAACAGAATATATTTTTTCTTAGCTTTTGAAGTTGAGTACGATGATATAACAATGTGGAATGCTATCTAATTTCTTGGGAGTGCTGTACAGCTGAGTGCCTTATAAATATTGCCTTATTCTCTCCAAGCATAAATTGCATTTTTCTAGAGGCTTCAAAAAATAAAAAAAAATAAGTGCTCATCAATTTGGCATCTCTCATTTTATAGCAGAGCTCCTTTTGACTTTAGAAAGATTTTTGTTTAGTCTTATGGCATTAAGATGTTTTGCGAGGAAAGTTTTCATTATGACTAGCACATCAGTGAGGCAGTCGGCTGTTCTTACAGATCAATTGTGTGCCTGGTACCACTGCAAAGTTGAAGTTTGAAAAGTAAGCAACACTAAATGTTTGCATTTATTGCAGTGTGTTGTGTAGGGGAAAGACATTGAGAAACAAGAAAAAGGACTTGAAGCTCTGGAAATAGAAAAGTCTGCTTTTTGGATATGATTATTCTTCCTTAATAAGCATTCTGCTGCAACCTTTAAAAGTCTGAGTCTTAAGTGCGGAAACAGACAATACATAGTTTGCAGAAGTAAATCTTAACTATTTCCAGGGCTGTAGTTATCTAAAGTAGTGTAAAAGACCTTAAAAAGTATTAAAGCAAGAGGATTCTAAATGATTAGGAGTCAGTAACCTATTAAGTCCAAGTCTAGTCTTACTAACTTCTCCTTGACCTCATCCATAAGTGGAAAAGCATGTAGGCATGTTACAAACAATATACATAAAAGTATGTACATGTATAGAACTTAATAGCTTCCAGAAATTACTGCAGCTGTTTCTGGCTAAATAGGATTTTTTACCCTGCCTTCTTGTGTTCTTTCTTACTGATTGATGAAAGATAAAAAAGATTTCCCCATTTACCAGTTTATCTATGGGATGCTTGGGCCATCCCATAGATACAGTACTCAGGAAATAGTTTATTACCTAAAACTATGTTTGGGATCAGGAATTGAAAAACACTAAATTCTTCTTTAATGTTTGAAGGCTTTCTCAAAGCTCTTGAATGATAAACTGGCATCTGCGTCTACTATTTTTGGTTTTCTCTTTCTTGAGTTTGGCTTGCACAGTAGATAAGATTGTCTTCATATCTTCCATCCAGCAGGCATACTTTAAAATCAAATATTGTCCAGCTTTTGGAGTGTTTTTGGTTTTTCTTTGAGTGGGCGTATTTTTGGACTTTTTTTTCACAATGGCAGTCATTCAAACTTTTATGTATTGTGACCTTGTAAATTGCTTCTTTCTCTATCTGTGAATAAACTAATAGCCTAAATTTACAATATTTAATTTATTTCCTGATTCCAGCAATCGGGTTAAATCCATCTCCTTCAAATCTATGATCACTATAACCGGCAGATTGTACAACTTGTCGTATTTTCTATGGTGAAATTTGAAAAACATGTCACCACCAATTCCATATTACTGCCAACATCTGTTCTTCAAAATAAAGATTTGTTGGAAAAATGTTATGATTAGAAAAATCAATCTTTCTGATGGTGGAAAAAGTGATTTCGTGTACATGTTGGCTGAAATAGGGGTTTTTTTGCAAATTTTTGCTCTAAGTTTTGAAATGGATGCCAAGAAAGTTAAACACTGTGTTTCTCTTTTGCAGTTGTTCATATCCTCCTTTGCCTGTACAGATATCTGGTAACCCTAGCCAAAGGAATCCTTGATCGATAACTCTGTAATAGTAACAACATTGGTTCCTTCAGTAATAGAAAGAAATCACCCTCAAGCTGTTGAAGATAATGTTTATTTTGGCCCCACCATCACTGGCTTTCATTGCTTTCAGCCTGTTTCATGTAATACTTACTGAGTCATTTTTAAAATAGCCAACATAGCTAAGATTAAGTGTGTCAGAAGAATGTTATCTTCTGTATGGACATCTACAAACATTTTGTGAAACCTCTGGGCTCAGCAATGTATATATTTTTTTCGTGTGCTGTCTTTGAGAAGTTCATGGCTTTAGAGAGATAGCTTCTTTCTTTTGAGGCCCAAGAAAGATAGTCATATTATGAATTGCTGAGTAGAGATCAGCATAGGAAGACCAAGTATAAGTCTTGGTGGGAGTCATTTGGATCATCTTAGAATTTAAACTGGACTTTCTTTGCCTCCTAAATTTATCAGGAGGGCCTCAGTGGGAAAAACTGAGCTAAGGAGACTTTTCATGTTAGATATTAAGGCTTCCACCCAAAGTGATGCATTATAAAATTTTTAGCAACAAAGAAGGGATTCATTCTTACTTTGTTTTTAGCTTACGGTTGGGCTGTTGTGGAGAATACTACCAATGTCAAGCCTTTTATGGCATAATAGAGCTGAAATTTCTCCCTTGCTGTTCTGATTATTTTTAAATAAAATTATTTGAGCTAGGACAATAATTTGTTATTGTACTACCTTTACAGTATTTTATTTGGCTCTACAGCTGCAATTACACAAACATAACCCTACATTTTTTGTTTGTTTGAAAACAAAAGTACTGATTTGAATAAATATTGATTTTTTTAAATTACGCGTACTATGGTACTACACTGTTTTGTCTAAAGTACAGTTTAATTTTTCCCCCCTTGTATATACCTCAGCACTTGGTAGCAAGTGGCTGAACCCTAACTCTAACCCTAACCCTAACCCTGTCTGTGTGCTTGGAAAGTAAGTAGGTTAGAGCCTGCTTAATAATTTAGATAGGAGACTACCAAGGAATACTAAAGATATAATTTGGGAATTTAACGGATAACCTGGAAAATGAAATGACAAACCAGTTCTGTGTTGCATGGATGTGTAAAGTCACCAGGAGTTCTTCTCCATTTATGGAAACCTTACAGCAGTGTTTCTTAACCTTAGCCACTTTAAGATGAACCTGGCTAGGGAATTCTGGGAGTTGAAGTTCACTCATCTTAAAGTGGCTAAGGTTAAGAAACTTGTTTTACCATATAATAGAGTTAGGGATAAGAGGCAATTCCACCCTTTTAAAGCCATGGACAAGGTTTCTTTTAACAGCTGAGTTTTCTTGCCATAGGTGCTCCAGATCCTACTGCAGGAGCCAGTATTGATGATGAAAATTGCTGGCATTTGGATGAGGAACAGGTTCGAGAGCAGGTGAAGCTGTTCCTCTCCCAAGGAGGGTACTATGGCTCTGGGAAGCAACTCAATTCCATGTTTGCTAAGGTGAGACATAGATTCCCTTTTCTTACCCTTGAAATTTTATAATATTCTTTCAATTTGCTGTTCTTTTCTCTGTGAAATCAGCTTTGAAACATTTAGGTTTATATCCTTCAGTCTTTTCCAAAGAATGGGCTGGAAGTGGCATGTTAATTTGCGTTGGTGCAATGGCCACTAGGAGTCAGGAAGAATATTATATCTTACTCACAGTTAGCTTATCATTAGGTATTTCCACTTATGTAAATTTTGTTTTGGTAGACATTTTTGGTGTTTTCTGATGATTACGTTCACTCAAGAGAGATGTATCAATCAAACCTTTGTAGTAGAGATTTTGGTTTTAATAAAGGACTGGAGGCTAAAGCATATAAGGAACGGCTGCTGGAATTGGGTATGTCTAGTTTAATGAAGAGAAGGACGAGGGAGGACATGATAGCAGTATTCCAATATCTTAGGGGCTGCCACAAAGAAGAGGGAGTCAAGCTATTTTCCAAGGCACCTGAAGGCAGGACAAGAATCAACGGATGGAAACTAATCAAGGAGAGAAGCAACCTAGAACTAAGGAGAAACTTCGTGACAGTTAGAACAATTAACCAGTGGAACAACCTGCCTCCAGAAGCGGTGAATGCTCCAACACTGGAAGTTTTTAAGAAGAGACTGGACAGCCATTTGTCTGAAATGATATAGGGTTTCCTGTCTGAGCAGGGGGTTGGACTAGATGACCTCCAAAGTCCATTTCAACTTTATTATTATTATTATTATTATTATTATTATTAACATAGAAAAGTAATAGTGGAAAAAGTGGAACATATAACTTTGTGTTTCTCTATTGCTGGATTTTGGCATATACATGTATGCAAACATGCACAACTGCAACAATACTTTTTATAATGAGTAAAACTAAATGATACAGTATATACAGCCATCTGAACAAGTAAGACTTGCTTATGATTCAATAGCAGCAGTGACTTTTTTTTATAATTCTCCACAACAGTCCTGTAAGGTGAGTTGGGCTAAAAGAAAGTGACTGTAGCGGTGATTTCAAAGGCTTTTTTTAAAAGTATGTGCTACCTTTACTTAGAATTCAACGCTTTTAATTTTTATTCTAAATCAACAGAATTTGAACAACATAGCAAATTGTTCTTTCACATGACTATCATGAAAAAAAGAATACCTAGAATCTTTCTTATGAATACATATAAATTCCAATATGAACTGTATGAATGAACAGAACAGTATGTACAGACAGTGTATAAGAGTGTTGAAGGTAGTATTTTCAAGAAAGTATAAGCATTCAGATCTATAAACTACAGTATATAAAGACATTTACATTGAATTAATCTATGCTTCTGACAAAAAAAATTAGAAAGTACATGGGCTGAGATTAATCCATAAGCATTAATGTCTAGTTTTTCATAGCCAAGTGCAGTCAAGATGGTCTAAATATTAATGATATACAAAAGTTATTTTAAAAAATATTCAGAAAATACTTGTATGTATGCATAATTGCAAAGTTTAGTTTTAGAACTGTTCCAAATATGTTGTTGCAATTTTATAACAGTCATTCATAGATAGATGGAAAGATATTGAATCGTATTTAGGGCAATCTATATAATTAAGGATATAAACAGTCCTTGCTGGATCAAACCCTTATGGCCATGTAGTCTAGCAATCTATTCTCACTTTGGGCAACTAACTATACAAGGCAACTCACTAGCTTCTCTGCAAATAACTTTAGAGCAGTGGTTCTCAACCTTTTTAATGCCGCGACCCCAACCGGTCGTAAGTCGAGGACTAAACCGGTCGTAAGTCGAGGACTAAACCGGTCGTAAGTCGAGGACTAAACCGGTCGTAAGTCGAGGACTACCCAACCGGTCGTAAGTCGAGGACTTTCCCTGCCCGGGAGCACCGTGCATGCGTGGTTCCGCCCCCTGCGCCGGCCGAGGCATAGCTGGCAAGCGGCAGAGACGGAGCAGGCCGACCACCAGCTGGCCCAGCCCGCTGGGGAAAAAATGGCGGACAAAGGCACCCGCCGGAAAAGGGGAAAAAATGGCGGACAAAAAAAATGGCGGACAGCCTTCCTTGGCAACCCCCATGAAATGGTCGATCGACCCCAAATGGGGTCCCGACCCACAGGTTGAGAACCACTGCCTTAGAGGCAGTTATACTGTCATCAGGACTAATAGCCCCTGACCTCCATAACATATTTTATAAATGTTTATACCTCATATAAAGCAAAGAATATTGTCAGTGTATACTTTGATCCTTATTCTAAAATGTTCCATCTGGCATTCCACATTTTGAGAAAAGATTATTCAGGGACCTAGTGTGTTAGAGAAATTCTAGTTAGATCAAGTGATATCTTCCCTTGCAGAATCCAGCATGCAAGAAATGATAAATGGCATTCTGTAAGCAATTGTATCTCTTGAGCAGGATATACACCTTCCTATATTTGAAAATGTCCAGGTATGGTGATTCCACACTTTACTTCGAAAATCTATTCCATAAGGTCTTGGATATCAAACCAAACCTTTCTCTTTCAGATAGAGTTTGCATCAGATTACAAGATTAGACATTTTACTTGGAATTGTTCAGATTTTCAAGAACCCATCATTATGAGAGATTCAGAGTTTGAAGTGAAACATCTATTTCTTCAGCCATGAGGCATTTCCCCCCCAAATTATAGAACAGTAAAGGGAGACAAGCTGATTACCAAGAATTCTCATAATCTAAACCCACATTTCAAGGTATTTTTTTTTGAGGAGGGAATTTGGACATTCAGTAATTCACAGAGAAGTTGGATTTGAACACTGTCGGAAATGGGGATCGTGATTTGAATATATCTGGCTCATCCCATACTGGCTGGAGAATATAAAAATCACCATCTGGCTTATCATATTCTTTATTAATGATTTTGTATGCCACTTATTCTCAGGAAAAAAAATCTTTTTTTGGCTTCATATTTGTTCAGCAAGATTTACTCTTTAGAGGCATTTTCAAACCACATAGGCAGCTTAATGATGGCATGCTTTTAAATCATTTTATAAGAAGTACATAATTCCATCTCCCCCCCCCAAAAAAAATCTGGTATGTCCATTCCTGTCAGTTACAGCCATCATGATCACCCAGGATAATCAGAGTTGTAATTTAGCTCCAAATGTATGGTGGGATACCCTATGGGCAAAATGTGGCAAAGACTATGTAGAAGCTAACCCTTAAATCCAATCCCTATATAACTGAGAGTCTACATGCCCTCCTCTTTTATCTTAGGTCCGTGAAATGCTGCGTATGAGAGATTCTAATGGAGCTAGGATGCTGACGCTAATAACAGAACAATTCATGGCAGATCCACGTCTTGCTCTTTGGAGACAACAAGGAACGGGCATGACTGACAAATGTCGACAACTGTGGGATGAGTTGGGTAAGTCCAGCAGTTTGTAATGCTTGAGGCTAGAAGAAACTCAGATCGGGAAGGCTGCAAGAAAATAGCCGATCTGCTCTGGGCAGATGACTTATGATGGCAGCTGGAAACCATACAGAGCTGGGAATAGCATTACTATAGGCCAGGGGTGGGGAACCTTGGCTCTTTTATGACGTGGACTTCAACTCCCAGAATTCCTGAGCCAGCATGGCTCAGGAATTCTGGGAATTGAAGTCCACAAGTCATAAAAGAGCCAAGGTTCCCCACCCCTGCTATAGGCTATAGAATATATGAGTTAGTACATGCGTTTGTGTCTGTGTGTGTGTGGGAGGGAGGGAGGGAGAGAGAGAAAGAGAATGGTTCAAAGTCAATTTTAAAATTAGCCTTCTCCAGCAAAGGGAGGAATGTAGACTCCACGTGTGGGTGTTAATTGTCCTCTAGCCCAATCAGACCAAACAATCAAAGTCGCCACGCCCCTTCAGGGTCTGAGCATGCCCAGTTTCTTTTTGGTCTCAGCCCTGAAGAGACGTGTTTTCTTTGGCTCCTGATTAGGCTAGAACTCAGGTAGTACATTTCTATTAAA